GCCCAGAGGCGCGGGGCTGACATGGCGGGCTCGACGCGCTCGGCTCCGCCCGCTGCTCCCGCCGCCATCCTGGCCCAGCGCGCCAGCAGGACGGCCTGCAGAGGGCAGAGGGTGGCGGAAATGCTGGCATGCTAGAACGCAGTATCAGACAAGGGGAGCGCGTAGGTGATTGCGAGGGCATTAGCTGAGAAGGGCGCGGCAGTAACCGCGGGACGGCCTCCTCACTTCTTGTGGCTGGAACAGCCGCGCAGTGGAGCCCGCACGCCCATGCTTGCCAGGCGGCGCACACTCCCCTTACACACATGGACACACACACACACACACACACACATATACACCCGGCCGCGCCCACCTGCACTGCGTTGATGGCGCCCTGCTCCTTGACGCCTGCGCTGCTGCGGCAGGCCAGCGCCCCAACGCCGTGCGGCAGCGGCAGCCCCAGGCGCTGCAGCCGGGGGTCGGCCCCCTCAAAGGGGTCAAACAGGAACATTAGCGGCGGCAGCGCGCGGCCGGCGGCCGCCGTCGCGCTGCGGTCCACCAGCAGTGCGGGTTGCACCACCACCAGCTGGAGGGGTGGGGTGTTGGGGAGCGTGGGTGGTTGGAGGGAGTGACGGCCGTTTGGGCAACAAGGGGGAGGCGCTCATCTCCTTCGGCGAGGAGCGCCACCTGCGCTCACGCATACATGCCCGAATGCCCGTGTGTCCCTTGTGGCCGCCCAGTTGTGAAGGCGTGCTTTCAAATGCACAACTGTGCACAAAACTCCATGCCTTCTCCAAGCCTCTTTGCCCCTCCTTCCTCTCCACAACCACCACACTCACGAAGCAGTGCTGCTTGTGGGGATCGCCTGCGCCGCCAAGCCCCGCGACAGCCTGGCTGAAGCACCAGAGGTGCACGGGGTAGGAAAACACGTCGGTGCCGCCCAGCGCCGCCTCCAGCGCCGCATAGGCGCCGCTTGCCGCCAGAGCGCCCGCCCTGGCCGCCTTGGCGCCGCCCAAGGCCGCGGCCTCGCTGGTATTTGCTGCCAGCAGCAGCGGGTTGGCCACGCCGGGCGCAAACACCAGCGCGGGCAGCGCACCGCCCAGGTCGCTGCTGTGGGGCCGCCCACGGCGCTGCTGGCTGGACACAATGGTGGCAAGCATGCATCTGCAATCGTGGCGGAGAAGCAATGAGGGCAGGTTTGGGTGTCCAGACGTGTGTGCGCGCGTGCGTATGTGCGTATGTGCGTATGAGTGCGTATGAGTGTGTGTGTTTTTGTGTGTGTGTGTGTGTGTGTGTGTG